GCTGGATCTGGGGGCGGAGACCGGGCGGGCGGGAACGCTCGCGAGCGGGCGGCGGCGTTTCCCGGGCCAAGCGCCTGGCATCTCCCGTGGCCGCCGCGGGCGCGCTGCTGGGGTCTGGCTCCCTGCTCCTGCTCGCGGGTCTGAGGAGGTGGGAAGCAGGGCGGGAAGGAGGAGAAGAAGGTCTGCCCTCCTACTTTCCAAGTCCGAGATGGTCATGGAGAAAGAGAGGTGGTTCAGGGCTTCGTCGGACTTGTTTCCCTCCGCGGAGGCTCGCCGAGGTGCGTTTGGGGCGTGTGTGAAGGAACGTGCACCGCTGCGCTCCCTTATTTATTGTTTCTAACGGAGGAGGGCTTTCTCCGAAAGGCTCTTCCGTCCCCCACCCCCATCTGAGGCTGCGCACAGTGATTTGTGTTTGTTATCAAATATATCAAGGAACGTCGTCCCCCGGGTAGGAGGAGGTTGGGCGACCAACATCAAATCAAAATAAGACCCAAATCACAGACTGCTTTTGGCTTTCTGTAGCCAATTTTTTGAAAAAGGTTAGATTGATACTTGGAAAAATGAGTGTGATTATGATTTTTACGATTACATTTCTGTTTTTGTTTTGAAGTTTTGGAGTAAAGTTTTGTCCATCCCCCCCTTCCCGCCACACACACACACACACACACACACACACACACACACACACAGAGTTAGGATCAACATGAGAATATGGTACTGTTACAGACGAGACAGGTAGTGACAGCCTCCATGGTGGGGGTTATATTGGAGTGCAATAAGCAAGGTTCTAGTCTTCTGTTTAGGCTAAAAATCCTCCCTTCACTGGTTGAAGATATGAGATCTTTCACATATGGGGAGAACGTGAATATTAGAATTGAGTTTTTCCCCCTGTGATTATACTTCCCTTATTTTATTGCCTGCATTTATATATTCTGTGAATATAACCAAAGATGAAGTTGTTATGTATAGTATTTTGAAAAGTACCGTAGGGTGATATTTCTGATCTCTTAGATGGCTAAGTTGTTTTGTAAACAGTTGCTATATATTTGTAGATGCTGAAATAATAAATGAAGTTCAGTAAGCATCCAGAAAATGAATTTGACGGATTCAGATTTTTAATGTAGGTGTGGAGTTTTATCTTTATATTAATCTCAATCTGATGCTTAGTTCTGGAAACTTTTTTCTTTTACTATATGAGAATTCATATCGACAAACTTAAAACTGACAGTTACCAAGGAGATTTTTTTTTAAAAAGCAGTTTTGAGGAGCAAAATTGGACAATTATAGGTATAGGCATTTGGAGCAAGTGGAGTTTCTTTGCAGAAAAGCATTATCATCTAAACTTGAAGGGAAAAAAGTAGAAATATACTTGTTATTTAAATTTCCATCAAGTAAGGTGAAGAAATTAATCAGAAAAATACAATTTAATGCATTTTTATTTAGGCAAACTAATTTTTGTTAGTATACCAAAGTTTAATATGCCTAAAATAGTGATCTTTTTCTAGGAGAAAATTTTATCCTCAGTTCTGCCCCAATTACGTTAATAGATTAATATTATCATCATGACTCATTTTATAAATGCCTGACTGTACATTTATACACACTTTACTTAAAACCCAGAATAGGCTTCATGGAACAATGACCCAGCAAACCTCTTTGAGGTGATCAAATTTTATACATCTTGCTGTGACTTTCTGTTTAGATTAGGCAAATGAACTTAAACTCTGCACAGAGCTTAATGAGTGGCTCTGGTAGGGCCCTTGACCAATGTTCTTCCCACACCTCTTTACATTATGAATAGTCCAAAGAGGAGAGATACTAAAATTATGTGTGGCTTTATCATGAATTGTGGAAGGGAGTTCTAGACCATTCTCAGAATTCTGCTCTTAAGCTGGTTGAAGTACTAGAAAAGATAAGCTAACAAATTGAATTGCTTTTTTATGCATTTACCAGACTGTCAGTGGTAGTGATAAGATTTAACAAAGAGTCACTGTGTAAACTAAACATTAACAAAGTGTGGCCTGTATTGAGAATTGGTTTGGGAAATTGTAGTTGCAGCCTGACAGTCTTCTTGATCAGCACTATAGTGCCTTTATGTGGCCTAAAAGATAATATCTAGTTTTTAGTTTGTTTTTTTTTTATTGATATGTAAATACTGTTTTAGGTGTTTGTGTGAAACATTCTAGAAAATATTACATACATTCAACTTATTTCCCATTTGGTAATTGGTGTTCAGGAAGGGATATAAATTATCTTCCTTTTTTTAAAAATTATTTTTTATTTTTAGGTGGACACAGTATCTTTATTTTTTATTTTTATGTGGTACTGGGGATTGAACCCAGTGCCTCATGGGTGCTAGGCAAGCACTCTACCACTGAGCCACAACCC